AAATGAAAGGGTTCAAAATAATTTGGTTCAGTTGACACAGGGGCAAACTGTTACAGGCAGTGCCACAAGCAGGACCCAAGGAAGAACAACTCCCCTGTTTTTAAGCACTGGCTACCAGAGTGGAAAGGGAAAATCACTGCTCCACCTATTCTCAGGCTTTTAAGGGAGATGCAAGGAGGCAATCAAGAAAATTGAATAGATCTTACTTCCTTTCACACCCATATGAATCAAACCTTGATAATGCCAAGGGAGGGAAGTTCACCAGGACAAGGGCTTCTCCCTCTCACTTTAGCAGGCAGGGAGCAAGGGCAGATCCTGCACTGGCAGCAGCAACAGCAGTTTGAAAAGAGTGGCACTGTCCACCTCTGACAAAATCCCACTCACAGAGGCACTACCTCGTTTTGCAAGCAGTCTAAAAGAATTTCAGCAGGGGCTGTGGTTTGCTTTTGAAAGGAGGATGGGAGTTCAATCTCTTTGTTATTAGAAATTACACCCATAGCTTTCTTCATCAGCTACCATGCTCACTAGAGTCATTAAGAAATACTAAATTATTCATTTTCTCCATTAAGAAGCTTTTCTCTTATTTATTGACAAATAAAAACAAAATTAAGGCTCTCATTTGCTCCCCTTCATTTTATTTAAAAATGGGTAAATAAGATCAAACATTTTTATTTTTACCCTGAAAAAGATAGGTCAGCCTGCAACATTTTCTCACATTCCTTCTCATTTTACCATTTCATTCTCCACCAGAAAAATGTAAACCAATTTCCAAATTAAAAATAAAACTGGTATTTTAAACCTACTCCCAGTAGGCTATTTATGGAATATAATGCAATTAAGAATTCTAAGATCTGGGTCACTGTACAAAGTGACCCCAGCACCACTTTACAAAGTGCTGACAACCCTCTCTCAGGTTAGCACTGGTGTAGATCCTGGGTTTACACAGACAGAGAGACAATAAGCAGAATCTGCACTACACAGGCCAAGGGGTAATTCTCGACAAACTTAAGAGGCAAAAGAAGAGCCCAAATCAGTACCTCCTTTACCGACTGCTGCACTGTTTTAATCCAAATCAGAAAGAGCAAAGCATAATCCCCTAGACATTATCCAAGTGAGTATTGCATTAGAAACCCCTGTATGCAGTGGAGACGTATCCTGGCTTGTAGCTTACACTGGTGACTGGATTCATACCAAGCAAAACCATTTCAAACTGTGATAAATTACCTCTTATTTAGATTAGGGGTATTAACTGGTCCAATTAAATCAATGGAGCAAGTTCCCAAGAGAGACAGGAATATTCTAGACAGAAGAAGTCTGCACGATTTAAGAGAACTGCATTAACCTAAAATGTTCCTTCTACCTTCTGCTTCCAGGAAGGAATCCAAATCATCTTTGTTTATTGTACCATTAGAGCTCGAAAGGACAAACATTTCATTTAACAAGACTGCTTTTAAACTTTCTTCTTTTTTGTGTAACCAGCTAGTTGAAACAGAGCCTGTAGCCGAAACCACCGCCTTACCACAACTACCCCTCATTTATTTCTGCTTAAAGACAGCTATACTACAAGCAGCTGCTATCTAACTGTAATAGGTCAAGTTATGACCTAGGATTGCATTTGATTTCAAGCACTCCAGCAGAACAATTTCTTCTGTTTGAATGCACTATTTGTCAACACGCCAAAAAAAAACCCAAGCAAACAAACAAACAACAACAACAAAACACCTGCTGGGGAATATACCAGGTTCAACTAGATTGTGTTAAAAAGGGAAAAAAAAAAAAAAAAGGAAAAAAAAAACAGAGGAGTTTCAGCAAACATATTTTCAAAGTACTGAAAAGTACCATTTCCTGGTTCAGATGACTTTTCACTTTAAGCACTTCAAGAATAAAAACCTGGAATATTTTTTTTCTTGGGTCCATAGGGACACAGAGACTGAAAGTAAAGCCTTAATTCCCACAGTTTCCTATACTCTATGAATAAGCAGTTTAGTCCCCAGACACTGAAGAAATATTCAACTATTTTAGAGAAACACATTCCTGCTATTCCCACTTGATCATTTCTTCATGTGATATACAAAAGAGAAATTCTATTCTTTGTTTAAAATGTTAACCAGAGTTTTTGCCCCACTCTATCCCCCAAAAGCAACAGAAGAAGCACATGAAGCAGAACCAAGGCAAGACCTGCGAAAAAGCTCTAATAATTTAGTGCCAAACTAGACTTAAACTCTTAAAAACTTTACTGAGAAGCTAAACCAGACTTTATTCTGGTTTGTCTAAATGAAGACAAACAGGTCACTGGAAAGCACTGAAGAAATGTTACACACCTTGAAAAAGGACCTTTGGAGAGGGATGAAGAGAAACTTTCATAGCTATACTGTGATATAAGCGCTTATAAGCTTTGTTATTAACTGTTCAGGTTCCTTCTTGAAGAAAGCTCAATCCAAAATGCATGAAAATCAGTGAAAAGACTTTCCTTCACTTCAAATTATGCCTAAATTGACCTTTATCTCTCTTGTGCAGGCTAGGGCACAAGGCACTTTAAAAAGCAAACAAAATAACTGCGCTAGCTATTATCATTAAGAGCATTTAGCCCAAAGTATAGGAACCAATTTAACACCATGTCCATGACAAAGACAGTTTGAACCGCTATTTTTTTCTCCAAACTGTAACAATACCTCATAAACAGCAGTCATAGCATAGTCTGAAATGAACATAACATGAAAAACACACCTTTTCAAAACACTGATGCTATCACAGAGGCGAAAAAGGACTTTTTTTCCCCCCCCAGTACAAGTAACTTGTCATTCCTCACAGTATCATCACGCTGAGCAACCTTGCCCTGGCAGAAGCCAGAGAACAAACATCCAGACACTCCAGAGGTGAGAAGCCTCATACTTTCACACCACGAGTCTGAGAGTGTGCAATGAGTATACTGTAATTCTAACTAGTACTTCCATGACAAACAATAGCCATGTTTAAGCACATTCTCTACCACGTGATAGGGTTCTAGTTTTTTAGATAATAGCTTTAAAAGGCCCAGGTTCACATGGAACAGCCTTTACAAGGAAGAAAAAGGAATACAGAGTGCTCATACATAATCTACAGTTTACATGTTTGCAAATTGTTAATAGAGTCAATCTATTCTTTCTGTTTTTCATGCTTTTTTCTGGGTGGTTTTCTTCTTTAAAGAAATAGGTATTTGTTAAAATACACAAGCAATAATTTTAACCAGGCTGGGGACTTGTTTGCTATTCAGGTAGAAGGTTTGTGTTTCAAGCACATCACCAAAAGGGAGTGTCAGAACATTAATTCATCCCTGGGACACTAATGCACATTTGGATTGTGTAGTCATTTTGCTTTCAGCCCCCAAAACACCCGAGGATTAAGCTAGTGGTCCATTTATACATGCCCTGAAACATGCTCCTGCTTTACTAAGGGAAAATATATCTCTCTTAATTCCCACAGCATCATAACCCTGGATTAACAGAGCAGAATTCTTCCTAGCATTTGTTAATTTTCTTTTAAAAATGCATTTTTGATAGAGGCTAGATGCCTCCAATCTGGTGTGAAGGGTGGGACGGACATTGCTACACCCTCTCTATGTCTGTGTAGAAAGAGGAGCAGAGGGAAACAGCTGGCTACTTTCCACAGTAGCTGGATTCAGCCAAAAAAAAAAGCTCCACCATATGCCTGCATGCCATAACAAACATAGCTGCAACTCCCATGCTGAGCACAGTGTTTGAAATGGATGCTGGAGAGGAAATTCTGAATTTTTCTGGAGTAAAAGACATTTTTGGTATCGGGAATCACACTGTCACTAATTATATACTTCTGCCACAGTTATGTCATTTGTTTACACAGGGCTAAAGGGAACCCAGAAGACAAAGTGCTTTTCTTCGGTTCAGGGATGGAGATCTAATTCTCCCTGATTTTATTCCTGCAACCAAATGCTGAGAGAGCATACAAAACCAGCCAAAATCCCTTCGCCACCTATTTTCTTGGGGTTTTTTTCTCAGCTTGTATTCTCAGCCCCAGCAGGGACATTCCTGCCTAACAAAACAAGCAGGAATAGCTACAGGGCAGTGTCAGATTTGCCAGCAGATTATCTGTGTCGTTCTAGATGAACAGAACAGCTGGCATGTATGAGGGTTCTGCCACACTGCCAACAGCTCTTCCCCATGTCATGGGTTTGGCGCTGAGCCCAATTCAGAAACTTCACACCAGCCCTGAGGCTGTCAGGAGGCTGCTGGAAAACTGCTGGGAGGCCACTGGACATCTTGGTGGGGGCCACCTACAACCCCATGGTGACAATCGTTGCAGCAAGGTCTGAGGAGCATGTTTTCTCTCCAGTTTCTCTGCCTTAACTTGCAAACTGAACTTTCCAGTTACCCTGGGAGATTGTGAACATGCCAGGTGTGCAAACAGCTCTGCCTAAATCTCATTTAGCTCCTGAGCTCTCAGCCTCTCCCATATCTGCCTTCAGAGCAAAGATATCTCTTAAGACCTACTTCCACCTAATGCTGTGCAGATACTTTTCTTTCTATACAACTACAGATCCTTACATATTTATATTGGACTGCAAATTGGTTGTCGAAGCCCAGTCTCAGCACACACAAAGAAATTCTGGCCTTGTGTACCATCACTTTGAGTTCTTGCTCCTGAGTTAAGAAAGAGGCAAGAATTTCAGTGTTTGCAGTCAAATCAAGCATGATTTAACTGGCAGTGCTAACGGAGGCTCAGTAATTCTGGGATACAGGGTACTCTGGTTAAGTCACCTGCATGGGTAATTCAGAGCTTGTCCAGAGGCCAAGTAAACCTTTCCCCATGGCACAGAGGGAGGGGAAAAAGGAGAAAAACATCTGTTTGTTTTAAACTCCCCTTGTCAGTCAGGCTTCTTGCCAAAAGCTCATTAATGGTAATTAAAGGGATGAAAAAGTGTATGATCACATTCATTATGTAGATAATTTGGGGGATTTATGTTTAAAAGAAAAAAGTGTAGATACCTCTGCTTCTTGTAGGGTCCCATGGTTCAAGCATACCATGTCTGGACATGTGATAGGAGAGCCACAGCCTTCTTGAATTGCCAGCTGCATGTACTGTTTTAGACACTGGAAACAAGTAAAGAAAACAAAAAAAGGTTATAGCACACAAGTTGGTAACTAACAGATGCCAGAGATGCTGCACAGTTACCACCTCCACTGCCTTAATTGGCTGTCCTGAAGCTCTGGTACACAGAAAGCATCAATTATTATAAGCTTGAATGCTACAAGTCATTACATTGGAAAGAATGCAACAAAGAACAATTAATTATGCATGACTTCATCTGCCGAGCATTGCGTTTACCTAAGTCAGCAAGTCAGACCTTTCAGCTCTAACAACCCCTATGCTCTGCTAAACTGATATTGGAGGATTTAGAGGGGGGGGCTCTTTCATCCTAATTAAACAGGCTTTGTTCTTTTGTTTTTCCTCCCATGTTCTTAATTCAGACTCTTAGCCAACAGTCTTCATTGAAGGAGACCTCATTTACAAGAAAGAGACTACTGTTCTCAGCTGCATAAAAGGGGAAGGGGGTTTATAACCTTGTTGGGAGGTTATAATCTGCCCTAGAAGACACGATGCCATCAGTTCTTCCCCCTCACCAGCCCCCCACATAGATTAAGTGATTTCCGTGGTTTACCATGATTTATCATCAGCCTCTACTCTTTCCAAAGTCCATTTACAGCATGGAGGCCGCCTTATGAATGTTTCCAAATTGTTTCATTACAAAAACCTCTCCACTCCAAGGAAAAATAGCCCTGTGTTTTCCCCATACTTTACTTGGCATGCCAGTTTCAAATGTATTCAGCTTCTCTATATAACACATATCATAGAGTCTTCAGTAAAATCATGGTATAAAACTGATGCAATGGACCAAAGAACAGTGCTTGAATTGTACCCCCAAATTGCACAGGTGAATAAGTAAGCTCACTTCTGAACCAAACAAAACAACAAAGTCTCCTCAAAATAATGACAAAGCATACAATCAATTGCAAATCACCATTAACAAAATAACAAAACACGCATTTCTGACAGATTTTTCTTGCATAGTCTATTGTAAATGAGAACAAACATATATTACAAAAAACAGGACTCCTGTAGATTTGTTCCCTACAGATTTATATTTCATGATCATGTGAAAAACCTCTCCTTCTCCTTCCCAGTACTGCAGACTTCTTCCCACCAGTTTTCAAGAAATATGTCAAGGTGAAACATGTCTTTGAGATCTCTGTCTCTCTGCCAATTTTTGGAACAGGCACGGAGTTCAAAAGCTACCAGGTGGGTTATGGGGAAATCACAGCCTTTCAGAGCATCAGCATCCCTGGACTCTTCAAAACCATTATTTCTTTATGTACAGGCATTTAACATTCAAGACTGCATTAGTCTGAAGTATTCTGAGAAGTCCTTGCATATTGTGCTCTGATTAAAGAAATTTCCTCATTTGTTTTTTTACTGGAAAACTGATTCCCTCTTAATTGTCAGGATAATTAGGACTTCTACAAATGGAAATGAGGTTTCCTTATTATTCTGTCTGTTTCTCTACTGAAATATCCATATCCACATGTTTTGGTTAATTCTGATGAACTACACAGAGATATTAGTTCAAGCAAGTAGAATCAGCTTATCTTAGTGGCATTTTAAATTAACTTACATTTCATTTGTAAATACTTGAAGTAGAAGAATGTAAGGGTATAACCTACCTGGTAAGCTTTAAATATCTAGATCATTAAGCACTAATGGATTCAGATCCAGCATGCACACCCATAAGTAAGCAGCAGAGCAGGTTCTAAGGAACTGATGGTGCAACTAGTACGTGGGAGGTGAGGGAGATGGTGAAGCAAAAAAGAAATCATGTAACTAAAAGCAGTATTAGCTCACTAGGGATTATCAGCCCAAATTTAACCAGAGGCTATTCTTCTATTATTCAAACAGCAGTCTCAGAGTCCTGTTCCATCTTCTCACCCACTCCTCCCAAAGGCATCTAGGCACAGTGCTTATAAAAAGTCAGTTTAACCACCAGCCCAAATCCCCCCAACAGCACACACAGCTCCATCACAGAGCAGTGAGCAACAAGCAGGAGAAGGCACATAACCATAGTGGTGTTTGGGACCTGGTGACACCAGAGCTGCCCTGCCTACATCTGCTGCCACCACAGCCTGGGCAGTGGCAGCAGGTGACACAGAGAAAGCCAAAAAAAGTGTGCTCAGAGCCCAGGGTGACTCCCAGTGCCGTTACTGATGCAGATGGAGATTCCTCCTGCAGCCCCACATTCATTCAGCACCTAGGGTTGTCCACATGCCTCAGCCCATACCACAGGAGAAACAGTTCAGCAAGTGCTCACTCTCTGCACAAATTTCCTCCCTGGTTTGTACCTGTCCCCAGCCTCCACCATGAACAATGTAAACATAAAATTCTTCCCCCTGAGTCCCTTTCCTAAGACCTGCACGCACTGTGTGTTGAGTGCACTTCTTAGATACAGGGGCAGAGTCTCATTACATCTCACTCTGTCTCTTCACATCTCACTCTGTCTCCTCATGGGAGACCTGATTACTTTCTGGATCAAGTCTCCGGGCAGCATTTGGTGAAAGGCAAATGTTTCCCTTCCACCAAAGCATTTAGTTTGCCTTAATTCCTCAGCAAGCATGAGAGAGCAACCTTTTACTTTTGTTAAGATCCTGGCTTCTGTCTCCTGTGTGGTGCTGCCTGATATTTAGTAATTTGTTTTGACAGCACGGTACAGTGGATTTGTATTCTGGGGGCAGCTCAGGTCAGCTGGTTACAGAGGTAGGACAAAGCCTGAGAAGTTACTGCAGGCCTAGCAGCAGCCCAGAGGCTTGTTCTTAATTTAGACTTCCAGGACAGAAGCTCGGAGCACTGACAATTACCCTTCCGTGCGAGGATGTGCATGAAGCTCTTAAGGAGCTTCGATCCACTGTATGGATTTTGCAATCAGTTCCAATACACAGTACCTGAGTCATCTGCGGTACCAAGCAAGGAGAACAGAGGTTTATGAGGATTGCTAATGCATCTGTGTTGTTCTTCTCTTCTAACCCATTGTTCGGTTGTAGGTGAGGATAGTTAGGCAACCAAAGCCGTCTGTGATACTCTAGGAGGGTGCTGTGCTTTCAGAGTGTGACTTGGAGAGATTTCATAATTGTGCTATGCATTGCCATGGATCTTCAAATACTTCCCAGAAAACCTCCCTGTTAAAAAATTTTCATAGGTATGAAGTCTTTTGTCTCGATTTTCTGTGCTTGGAGAAGTTGCTGCGGGTACAATTCAAGAAGTTGATGGAAGGACTTAAAGGTGCTGGGAAACTCAAAGAAAGCATTTAATATTTATCACCGCAGGATTAAGCTTTTTACCAAAGTATGTACACGAATGAAGATGGGAATTTCTTGTTCTCTCTCGAGGCACTAAAGAAGAAACAGTGGAAAATCGCTAAAACTTTAAAATATGCCTTCACTTTAACAGCAAAAGTGGTTTTAGAGGGGTTTTACTATTATGTACAGCTCAGTTACTAATTTAGCTGCTTACTTGAGAAGTGGCAACTGAGAGTATAGAAAATACGCAATCCAGAAACGGGATGAAAAGAAGTTTCAGTGTCTATATAATGAATCATAATTGACCTTCGCAGCAGCATGTTCTCCAACACTATGGAGAATACACATTTTTTTGTGTAGTTCATCTACAAAAATCAGCAGTATGTCAGGAAAACTGCATATACCTCATATGCTACATAATTGCTCTTTAAAGTGAAGGAAAGATCAAGATACTCTGCCTTCTGTGGTATTAAGTGTTCCCTGAAAGGATCTTGATCTTAACGTTCAAAAATCATGAGATCTCAACACCCTGGGCTACACTCTCCTCACTCTCCTACCAATTTCCCACAGTGTGGTGACCTTCGCGCACGGAGAGCAGTCAGTGGCTGGAGAGGCCTCACCACAGAACCTGTGGCTTACAGTGACAGTAACACCATGTTCTTACTTTCCACGGCCAGAGCAAGTCATCAACAATGACCCTCTTACTAGTACAGCAAGGTTTCCACAAATGTGTCACATAGCCAAGGCAGAATGGTTGAGGCAACCAACTAGAAATCCACTGATGTCTTGCTGAACAGGTTAGAACCTTGCTGACTACAGACTAAATTGGAGGTTTGACTCCGTTATGTTCACCCCTCAAATAAACGACAGACACCAAGGCAAGTAATTTTAACTTCCACATCTGCAAGTGTACTCTAATCAGTTTAATCAGATTTTCCCCACTGAGCAACTATATCATGTACATATCTGTGTTCTGGGATATACAACAAAATCCTCATGCTTTCAAGCAACAGGGATCGATTTAAATGTGATAATGTAATTCCACCAGTAAAACTCACTACATGTAACAGAACGTTTTAGTGATGATTTGGCTTGCCAAGCACATTTTACTGCTGCTGGAATACTGTCAGCTTCAGTCAAAAGAGCACTCCAAGCAGTTTTTTTCTCTGCCTGAGATTCATAATGTATAATGACACCTTTTTTTCAATAATTTGCTGTTTAAGCATTTTGGGGCAAGATTTTTTTTTTTTTTTTCCTCTTATTCTGGTTTTGCCTTTCAGGCCATCACCTTCTTCTGTTCAAAAAACCAAGATCAATATCCACTTACCTACTTCACAAAATGCTGCTCACGAGTATATAGTAGGTTAAGGCCTGTAAAGTACCTAGATCAAATTATCATGCGACATATATGCATTTCTTTTTTATCTTGCAGGACTCCTAAGGAAGATTATGATTTAGACAAATACTTACATATGCTCCAAGCACACATTCCTCTCCTGGAGCTAAGGCTTTGTAGAAAGAGTATATATGTTGTAACATGATGGAGGCATCTTTAAAATAAACACCGAAAAGCCTAATCCAGGAACGCACAAACTAATAATATAAAAAATTCCTTCTTCAGTAATGAACACTTCCTCTAATCTTCAACAGTTTTTCTAAGGTCAGCTGTGAGCTCCAGGAATAAAAAACTCTGTTCAGGCTATTCATGGCTTCTTCATTTCAACACTTCTCCTGCATGCTGCTCTAACTTCAACTTCTTTTTTTTCCCCCTAGTATAGTCTACAGGGGAGACTTTTAATGTACTGACCAAGAAAAAGATGTCTGTTTGGCAAATTTAGTCTGCAAAGGAACCATAACAGTTCTGCATTTTATCATGAGTTCAAAGTATAATTTCAGTGTTATGTTGCTAGGTAATGATGTGACAAAGGCACTATATCCCTCTCACTGTGAATCTTACGTTTCTATTCAAATCTACTTCCAGATAACTTATGTATCAAAGACAAAAGACAGATCTCAATCATTCCTACATGCTGCTTTTTCCAGTACCTGGTCTTGTTCTATTACCTTGCTCTTCTCCATTCGCCTTGCAGCTCTTCAGCTCCCAAAATGCAGCCTCATTAGTTTGGATGCAAGAGCATAAAAGGAGACCCTCATCTGTGATGTGACAAAACTGAACAGGTATCTTTATTAAGAAACACAGAGGGATGGATAGGAAGAAGAAAGAAATGAAATGCACTGGCTTATTTTCCTGTCAAATGCCACAGATATTGCTGCTAGCCGCTGTGTAGCAGCTGGTACAGGGCAAACAAGAGTATTTGTCATTAATTCAGTTACAGAAAGGGAAAGAATAGATCTACAGTATTTCTCACCCAGTACTAGGGCGTGATCTACATGCAATGTGAAAATGCACAAAATGATTGAAGGCATCTTGCCAGCACAAGAAGGTTCTTCCTAGTAACATTTAACTTGAGGACAATTTGCATTTCAGAAAAATTAGGAAAAACTCAAGTTTCCATCTCAAAATCCCACAGGACTGATTTAAAATGTTGAATCTCTCTTCCAGATTTGTCCTCAAGACTGTATTGATTTGTATTTGGTTTTGTTTAGCCGTTTTACGAATTTGATAATTGAAGGGCAGAAAAAAAAATACTCTGAATGGAGAGAAGACTTAACTTTTCAGAAGACATTCCTTAGTGTCTTATGATTCAGAACAGATCAACAGATAGGCATTTAGTTATCATTTTAGTTCTGGGCTATGTTTATAAATATATCTCCCTAAAAAGTACCCATAGTGTGTATGACAGATCTACATGTTTAATAATATATTCAATAATATGTTTAATAATATATTCATCATTGTCATGACATCTGTGATGCTGAATGTTGGTCTAAAACATTTGGTCCATTCTAAAACAGACCAGTCACTTTCAATGTGTGGTAATCGAACTCCTGGGATCTCTTCAGTATCTCTCAACAGCTCTCAAAACTAGATGAATCAAGTCTATTGGCAATTAGCTTGGAGGCATTTGCACTGCACTTGGAAAAAAAAGTGAGGCTTTTCCAATTAAAGAAAGTTTTTAAATACTACACCACAGATATTTTGCTCCAGATAAACTTATGATAGGCACAGTTTAAAGTGAGAAACAGAAGTTCAATGAAATATCCATATTGTCCAGTCTATATTTTACCTGCTAAGGACCAGATGCAGTGATAAATAGGTTGCTTTTAAATGGATAGAAGATCAGGCCACATAAGAGTCTTATAAAAAAAGAAAGAAAGTTAAAAAAGACCATTGTAGCTTCAGAGGACATACAGCCAGCTCGTGGCTCAGTATAAGGGAAGGAATAACAACACTAGCAAGCATTTTATTTTGTCATGGCCAAGTTAAACCATCAAACAAACATGATAGTGGACCAGAATATAGTGGCCTCCTCTTGTTCCACAAGCATATTTTTATAAGACCTTTCAACTGTATTTGAGAAATATACTGTCATCTGCCTTGTCTCAAAATATTTACCACCAATGGCGATAGATTCTGCTCAGAAAGACAATCTAAAATGAATTTACAAATGACCCACCACATCCTGGCAGCCTTTCAGTAAATCAGGATAGGTTCCCGGTAATTGTTGCCATGAAGTGGTACCACCAACCAGAAAAGGACCAGAGGATAGGACCAGAGAAACTCACCCTTCACAAAATGGAACCAGCTGCAAATATCATTTCTTTTGCCAAAACTCTCTATCAGGCCAAACCTGGCCTTACCGACAGCTACAAAACTGACATGACCACAAGGCTTGTGTCACACTCTGGCTCAGTAACTGTAGCACTTCCAGGCACTGACAACTTACTTCACAACTTTTTCTTCGTTGGTTAAATGAAGAGAAAACCAACTTCACCAATGCAGTGCTGTCATTAACATGTTAGTTTCCTCTTCCTCACCCATCTTCTCTTGGCCATCACCCAGAGGCTGCCACCTCTATTGGCTTCAAAAACATCTACCCCCTCTTCCTGAACTGCAGTATCCCTCAAAAGGCCATAGCTTACATTTGTTCTCTTTTGGTACCCCTACTAACTCTGCCTTTGCTGTTACTCTGCACAGAAATGCAGGCAGGAAGTTCTTTAAATATAGGTTGCTATAAAAGTGTCGTGTGTTCAGTGCTAGTATCAGCAGGTGAAGGAATTTTCTTTTTTATAACTTTAAAGGAAATATTCTGGAACATTTCAAATGTTGAGCTGGGAAAAAAAAAAAAAAAAAAAAAAAAAGAATCCCAAATGTCAACACTTGGAAGTGGAAAACAACCTGAGGTGAGCTTTATATAAAGTAAGTGGGGCACTGCAGCACAAGGTCTATTTAGGAAGAGGAGAAGGTAGTGTTCTGCTGCAGCCATGAGCACATGCAGGTGTCTCCCAGGATGGGGGAGAGAGAAGGAAAAAAAGGGGGAAAAAACACTGTCTTGAAAATTAGCACAAAGAAACAGAAGGGATACTAAAACCGAGTGTTGGCTAGATGATGGCAAATCCAAATATTCCCTGACTTAAAGTTTTAGTAAGTAGCCTTTCAGTTGACTATTCATGTACATTTGCTCCACTTAGCAGGTATCCCACACTCTCTGTCATCTGCCTCCTTCTTGTCTTTGATCTACTTAGTCTCTCTCCTCTGCTCTCAGGCTTTTTCTGCCCATGCTTTGTGCTGATGACCCTTCACATTAGTTTTTCCAGCTTTCCAGTGCTCCCCTGCACAAGCAATCTGAAGCTTCAAAACACTAAGGGCAAAATGTCAATATTCAGCCGCCCAAAGGAGGCAGGGCAACACACAGCTGCTCTTAAAAAGATTAAGGAAAGCAGAGGAGCCAAGAGTGTCCTGCTGATGAAGTGCCAACAGAGACACTCCTATCTCTGTAAGGGTTTCTCCTTTCCCTCTAGCGAAAGTAGCTGGCAGCAGCCTCTCTCAGAAGCTGCAGCCTCCCAAAACCCTGACTTGCCAGGCAGGCAGCTGCCCAGGGCATCAGAATGTCCACAGCAGCAAAAAGAACCTTTTTAGTCACTTTCTAGCCCTAGCCTTGCTGTAACACATAGCTACAAGAAGAAATTTTTTTTCTCCAAATGTCCTTGGAACATGTTCTACTTGTAGAAGCATGAGACAGCGCAGAAGTTACCTGGGCTTCCACGCTGACTGCTGCATTTAAGGCTACATTAAGTTTAATCTCATTTTGACTTTATTGTGTGCACCAAAACAGCAAACAGGTGGATCACCGTTCGTTTGGCATGTTTGTAACCCAGTTGCCTCACACACTTCTCAGAAATACAAGACCCAACAAAGAATCTGCTTGGGAAAAAAAGAAAGGTGAATCATGCTAGTTCTGCATAAACCTGTGCTGACAACTGAGTAACATACTTGAAAGCATCTTCTGTTTTCAATTTGTTACATGTTGTCTTCGGCATCTCGAACCCTGCACCAGTAAATAACACACAAGGTAGACGGATTTAAGCTGCTACTTGGCATAAACAGCAGCTATGCCATTTATTGCTCACCTGGCTCTCATCAGGGCTCTGAAACGCTTAGGAGTAGTGGAAAAAATAGGAAAGACAAAACCGAAAAGAATAGGTGTGTGGGGGAAAAGCTGACATCAGCTTTTTTACTGACCCCCTAAGACCACCTTTTTCGTAACAGCACTGCACTGGTTCTCTTTCATCATCACCACCGGGGCAATCTTACCACACTAAAGCTAAAACTTCACTGCCATGGCTTCCTGCAGGCTACAGATTCTCACAGAGCCTTTCACAGGGCCCTTGGTATTTCCAATATTATTGCTAGTCCTGCACTCCTCACTAGTGCTTCCAAACGGTAAATTATGCTGTGCTAGACACCAGGGCACTTCCAGCAAGAGGACACGAGCTGCATGTGATCCTACCACTCATTGTCTCTCCCTGATATTTTCCCAGTTTCAGCCAAGTTTTGAAAAGGTGGGAAGAAGAGCAAATGTAGGAAATTTGATTAGAAATAAGTATAATATTCAAAATATTATTTTGTAAGTGGATCATTCAGGATGTAATTAATATTAGTGTGCTTTGGATATAAATGCACCGACATACGGTAACGCTGTGATGGTGTAGTCAGACACAATGTCTAATTATTTTATGTACATATGTAAGCACCGTGACCACCACAGGGGGGAAAACCTACACAGTTGCATATGCAAGGAAGAAAAAATTGCAATACAAGATAAACGCAAGGGATTGCTGATAAGAAGGATATCCCCCAAATATACAAGGATGAGTGGTAAGACAACAAACAAGACAAGCAGTATGAGGAACAGATGAGACCCCTTCCATTTTTTGGAATGGGGCAAGTAGCATAAAACCATGCAGCTTAAGCAATACATATATTGCTGAAGATCAGTATGTGAGAGAGTGCACCACAGCATGGCACTCTGCAAAGGTTTTACAGGTATAGGAAATGAACTGAATAATGTAAAGTGCAGTCCTCTAAAACTTCTGCAGATAAGCTATATCTCACATCCCTGCCCACCCTCTTCAGAGACCAGCCTTTCAATCAAAACTAATATAAATCCAAACACAATGAAATCAAGTCATCAGATGCACTATTGCCATTTCCAGATTCTTGGGATGTGTGAATGTGTGCTTTATCTCACATCCCAGTGGAGTCTTACAACAAGTGCAAAAAATGCTGAGAAATACAAAGCTGAGGCCTGTTCAGACCTGGCTGGGCGACCACTGTCAGATGGCAAGTGTGTTCTGCAAACCATCTGCTTTTTCTGCCCTGAACAGAGAGAGTAAAAATGTTTATAGCTATTTGAAAAACTCCTGTACTGCTAGCAACATTCCACCAAAATGCAAGCATACACCTTCTTAAACACAGTTTACTTACTTTGGCTAAAACACAGCTTTTACAAGGTATGATGTTTATTGCAAGAGTTTCTAAGCTGAAAACATAGCTGTACAATATTCTAACTCATTCGAATGCCTTGGTGTTACAGGCTACAAATGAAAAGGAAATATAATCTCACCCCTGCAGATATCTAAATAGTAACAACTTCCATATATTTCTACAGCCACAAATACTGTAGTGAAAAGTAATAATAGTTGTAGAATCACTGTTACTGTTAGGAAAAAAAAAAGTAACAGAATGAAAAATTAACAAAACTAATAGTTTCATCTCAGTGGAGCACAACCTGTCATGTCCATGTCAAGCCTTTTTATTCTTCAACTATAATACTACTCTTGGATCTCTAAAATTAACCTTAGTGATAGAAAATAAGAATAAGCTATACAAGCTGAAAGCATTGTTAGCCAAAAAACTGATATGGGCTCGATACTACAGCTCACAGCTGGCACTCTTACCCCAACATCTGTCTTAAGAGTAGTGTGAAGGTGGCCTGGCATGAGTGTGAGGAAATTTAGGGCATGGCACAGGCTGTGCCCTGAGCAATCCCCTTGCAAACCCCAGCACCGAGGCACTTTGTGTCAAGCTGCTTCTGACACTGCTTTATGGAGGCTGCCCAAGCAAGCAATTCATGTGACCTCCCAGAAACTGCTCTGGGTTGAAGACAGAAAGCCATATAGCCAGCTTACAAGTTTCCAGAACTCCTCTTGTTACAGGATGCGAGTTCCACGTGTCTCTATTTCATCAGCGCAGACACGTCCATCGGGAGGACATTCAGACACAGAAAACAACAGTCAGACAAAGGGTAGACGTGGATCATGAGCACAGTCGAGACATATTACACCCACTGAAATAAATAGAGCATGTCTAAAGGCTTCTCCCAGCTGCATTCGGCGCTCACTCATGGCTGGCTCTTGGTTCAGACAAAGTCAGAGAAGTTTGCACAGATGGCAAACAACCCTGACTGCGCTCTCCATGCCGCTGTCATGGCATTGGAGAACCAAGCTCACAGCAGATGCTTTTCCTGCTACTGGCCAGATAAGGGGTGTATGGATGGGGTGGAAGCTGTGGCACCAACAGGGAACAGGTGAGGACAGTAACAACTCCAAGCCATCACCAACCTCTCCCTTTGGCCAGTGTCCTGGAGCAGTAGAGAGTCCAGCTCTTCCTGGCACAGGCCTCAACAACATTCCTTTCTCCAAGGGCGGAAGGATTACTCTGCCCAGCTAATACTGAGTTAATGTGCCATTAATGATATTAAATCAGAGACACTGAGTTCTTAGAGAAGAATGGGACCACTGTAAAAGCATCAACTTCCTCATTAATTTTTTTTTTTTCAATTTAAAGCAGTATGTTCATACCTACTCTTTTAGGTATGTGCTCTTAAAACTTTTGTTACAAACAAAAATACGAAAATGTTTTGTGGAAGTCAGTAAGGGAAACAAACTTCATGAAGGTCAGGTTGAAATGCATATTAATCAATCTTACCCTAGTTTCTTGAAGCACACAGCTAGATTTTCATCCTATTTAAGTTATGCTGAATTCAGCGTAAGTGAAGCTAGCTTCACAAGCATCAAATTTCTTCTAGGAGTTCAAACAACCAAGGACAAAACTTAAACATACTCAACTGATGGTTATCCACAATTTGTTGTTAAAAAACTAAAGCCAAGTACATTTATTCAGGAGTTAAAACCAAACAACAAACAAAAACAACATGCTCCAGTAACTTCTGACCTCTTTCCAAAATCCATTAGTCAGCCACATCAAAGTCACGATCACCAGAGAAACTACACCCATTTTCTCATGCTGACAAAGAGACCAGAAAACTGTTACTATCTGTGGGGCTTTTATCAGCTCACTCAGCCTCTGCCTTTATCATTTCCACCAGCTTTATTTGATCTGAGTTTGCAGGACAGAAAGTCTGTACTTACAACTATAGGCAATGCATGACCTGGGCAACATCTCTGCAGCACAGACTGCAGAGAGGCAAAGGTTCAATAGGCCAAGGTTCATTTTTGCTTAGGTTTTTTTGATTGTCCTTAAAAGTTAACTACAGAACTTGAAAGGTCTCTGAGAACTCAGAGGATGATAACAGGGAAACAAAACCTCACAGCTATCCTACGATGTTTCAAGATTTTGCTTCAGAAAAAAATAAATACCGAGATCACATACAGACTGTGTCTGTTCTCCAACAGTCTTAAAATGCATCTTTTTTCCAATTTATTACTGGGATTTATTATTACTTGCTATGGAACCATCTGTTGGAGTTATGAATTTTCAAAAGCAGAATGACAGAGAAATCTTTTAAATAAGGCAAGGCAGACTAACACCACATGCTCTTTGGGAAAGCATCCTCTGTCAGCAAGGGTAACATATGCTTCTTGTACAAGACAAGCAATCCCATTTCACAGTTCTATCTTCCATTACCCTGCTGCTGTAATGTAAAGGCACTGATAGATCTTACCGCTGTACAAAAGATGCAGCTGCATTCCTGAAGAGTGGTCATCTTATCCAGGGAATATTCACAGAGACATAGCTTGCAAGTGAGTAGAGGCTCCAGAGCTAGCTCTCCAGCTTCTGACTCATCAGCTGTCATGGTGTGAGGACAAGCCTTCCCAGGAGAGCCCATTCAGTCATTAATGGTCCGCTCAGCCTGGAAAGAGAAATTGATAGCTGAAACATTACACAAGCCATGTAGTCAATTCTATTGACCTGGGAATTTACATCTAAGACCCATAACAGTGCCACCACACCCAAATGTACTTCTTGACATCTTAGGGCCAATCTCACACTTCAGGCCACCCAACATTTATAAAGAAGGTGACTGAGAGCCCACCTCCTCGAAAGACCTGAACTTGACTGAGTTCTCAGAGAACATTCATCTTGCTGGCACAAAGCACTTTAGTCAGGTTGCTTAACATCAAATTAAAGAAAAAACCAAACACAAACCAAAACTCACACAGATGGGGCATTACTCATATTACACGCAACAGCATAGTGGTCAGAGCTCTCACCAAAGTCCTAGGAGCAGGGAAATTATTTGGGAAAATAAATTGTTAATTAAAAAAATTAACTGATTCATATGTGCACAGATATATATCACTGCCTTTTCAAATGAGTTTCACAGTCATTCCCCTCTTATCTCCATGGGATCCTTCAGTCTTCATTGCACCCACCCAGTTCCAGTGGGTGTCTCTACTCACACTCTCTATTTCAGCTGGTGGCTCAGGAGCTTCCCTGGGCAGTGCAAGACAAGAGCAGATTCTCACTTTCCAGGCAAGCACTTCAAATATTCAGTCTGTAATGTGGTGGGTGGGTACTATATACTCCACCTTCTCCACTAGTTGTCTCTGAGATAGCAAGCTGGCAGTCTACTGCAGGATGGGTGGTGAAAGCACAAGGAAAAGGTTCCAGACTGCACGTCCTACTTCATACAGGGCTGAAGCCTAAATACAAATGAGTATTTAATGAGCAGTCCTCTTTTCTGCTTTGCCTTGATGATGCCAGACAGTAGCTTTTGTGCATCCCACTCCCTGGCATCCAGCTCTTCTACTTATTTCATAGTGCTCTTAGGCATCTAACTGAGGTTTGTGAACCAAGAACTGAGTGCACTAGCACTTTGACAGGGAGATGCTCAGAAGAGCCATGTTTTCACCACACATGTCACAGCAGTACTTGGGGAAGAAACTTCTATTCTTTGATGAGCAACAAATGGAAATATCATGCTCAGATGTAACGTTTTATGGCCTAAGCATTTGAAAACACTGCACCATAATCATAAAAAAATTTCAAGACCCTCATTCTTACACAGTAACACTGAAAAAGGAATTAAAAAGAATATCCTCAAGCTTAGGCTGAAACAATGCAAAGCACATTTGAAGATTTTACTGGCCTCAACATAGACAGCGGGGGTCACTGCAGCACTTAAGCCACAGGAAAATCTATTCCTGTCTCTAAGAAATTTGACCCAATTTTCACAGACTTGCTTCTGAACACACATAAGTGGTGGCAAGACGACCTTCACATCTATTTGTTACAAGCAGAGATGTGGTGGCCAGATGTACACAGCTACTTGCAGCAGCATCAAGAGTGCATCTCCACTAAATCTAAAGAGTTGCATCACGAATGGAGGTTGCCTGAACACAAAACCAATCAAGACCCATCCATGTGCCTGTCAGATTTGACATCTCACGAGGCAAACAGGAGACTCAAGCCCTTTGGTCCACTTCTGCTGGCCTTCCCTGCAGTCCTGAATGTCCTCGTGGCAGGGCTGTCAGGTCACATTTGGCAGCGTGTCCCTGCTGCCGTTCTGTGGCTCCCAGAGCAGCCAGGCCAGCTGCAGATAGTCCTGTGTATGTGACTTACTGACTTGCAGTAGAATCGTAGTACCTGCTGAATTCCTTCATAGAGTGAGAAATAATGAGGCTCCTGGAGTTCAAGTGGTCCATGCACATGGAACCCTTCCCCACAGCTTCCATCTCATAATCTGATGCACAGCCAAGCCCCATCCCCAGACCTGTCCCCTCAGCTGCATGACCTGTGCTCCCACAGTCCGCAGAAACACACTTTCCTTTCAAAAGCCATTCAACCACAACAAATCTGGGTCAGAGCACACTTACTCCTTTTTAATTTTTTCACTTTGAAGTTTTTTAGCCTAGCCTGTCAGAGAAGCCACCAGATTTGTACCTTGGGATGTCTTTGTTGCAGGCACCCAGTTTCAAGAGACACGAGAGTCATAGCCAAGATTCTGGCAATCAAATTCCTGACCACAAATCCAAAGCAAACTCTCTATTTTATGGTTTGCTATCACTAGTTCAGAAAGATGCCATTCCAACGTTATTGTTGGTGCAGTCCTGGGACCTGCTGCCATGATACCTCCCCCACCACCACCACCAATTTTTCCATACAGCTGCAGAGCTGGAGCTCCAGCACGGCAAAAACCTTGGAAGGAAGCCTCCCTCTGAGTCAGGGACTACAATACTCCTCTGTAATTACTGCAAGAGGGTGGGGAGGAACACTGAGTCACTGGAAACGCTATGGCAGATCAAGAACTACCTGTTATTTAAACCTACATGCTAGACATTATCTCAGTATTTAGGGGAATTTTAACCTTTTTACTCAGGTTGCTATTCAACATCATCCACACCTGTACAGGGAGCTACTCATCGCCACCCTGCACAGATCTGAGGTTTCTTCATTTACACGGTAAAAGGTAACAATGTTAAAAGGAGGGATGCACAAAAGGACAGGTAGGAGTATTTCAGGATGTGGGAATGGATATAAAATGGATGCAGCTGTTTCCTAAGTCAGTGTTCTTTTTATAACCAAAAGGGTTATGACCCTGGATGCAGGCAGCATTAAGGCAGCCGTAGGAAGATTCAGGTGTATCACTGAGGTTTAGGGCTGGGGGCTAATTTTAGATGGCCTAAATCCAGGATTCAGTGTGACAACAACAGTGACAGTGAAGAGCAGGCTCCTGATACAGCGCTCTGCCCTAGTAGCAACCACATGCCATGATGGCTGTAGGGTCTCATTGCATGACATCCCACTGTCATTATGATAACACTTGTTTCTGAAGGCTGTAGGTTAAATTCAGTTTTTCTCCCTGTCCCCTCACACACTCATCCTTCCCTCACACCAGGATTCTAGAGCAGGGCTGAGGTTCTCCTTAAAACAGGTAGAGCACCCCATGGAAATCTCCAGCAGACAATACCAAGCAAACCTGGCAGACCAGAGGATCCAGTCCCCAGACAGGCCATGCTCACCTCACCACAGCCTCAATAACCCCATCAGAGCTCATCAAACGGAGCAAACAGAATCAGAGTCATGGAGACAGCTCCATGTCCTGCCTGCTCAGTCACTGAAGGAAAAACACCACAGCTATCAGGAACAAAACTCCCTCCATATTCCCTGAGAGGCCAGCTTGTCCACAAGCAGTTCACTGGATCGGGATGGCACAGGCAAAGCCATCCTTTTAGCACTGAAAGCCTGCCTGTCCAGGGGAGAGTGGATGCACGGCCTTCTTGGTCTACTCCTTTTCCCAGAGCAACCCAACCCACTGGTCTCTGTGTCTGCCCAGCAGAATTGGGACTTCTGCTACTGCTGCCAAGGGACACATGCAGGGGGAAGAGTTAAGGGTTATGGAGAAGGGTAATCCCATCCAGCAGCATCTGGGCTCTGAAATCAGATATGCACAGAAGGTTCATTCTCATTTTCAGATCGCAGTAGAAAAAATGGGGAGAGAAAGACGCACGTCTTCCTCCAGTTCTCACCCTCTACTCCTTCTCCTGCTCTTTACCAACACTTCAAGATGATTGTCCTCCCCGAAGCTCTCAGATTATCTCCTCATCTTCACCAGCCTAGCAGAATTCACTTTTCCATGTGCTTCAAAGAAGCCATGAAGTTCTACCTCAGTTCCTCTGAACTTTTATGGCTTTCACTTTGCTATGTTTAGTCCCACAGACTATCATTAGTTAATTATACATCCATCGGTTCTCTTTACAGTGGATTAAAATTCCTATTGTAATTACAAGTGCTTTGCCAATAGGTTAGGCTGAAAATAAACCATCTTCAGTGTACGTGTTGTGCAAGGGAGGAGGGAGTCACTGAAGAATGAGTTGGGGACAAAGAGGAAAAGACCATTCCATATTGGATTATATCAATAAAAGTGTCCTGAAATGAAGGTAAATGGGAAGTCTCTGAAAAACAATGGATCCTCAAATAAATAAAATACATTTTCAAGCACTTCCTTTTCATGCTTCCAAACACAAATGACCCACTTAAGATAGCCTCCCAAGCAAATCAAGAAACGTGTAACCGCAACTGTAATGCAGGCCCTAATTGGTCACAAAAACCCTCTCCTGTACAGAAACACAGGCTCCATGAGACATTGTGGAATACAGATAAACACATTTCAAGGACATCCTAACTCAGAGAATCCTGCACCAGCATGAATCAGCAGCAAGGAAGGGTCAAACGTGCCCCAGTGTGCGTAAACACTCAGGACCTTTCAAGATCCACTTTTTTTACATACTTCTATCAGTCTGTACACGCATAGAAACACAGATCACGCTCCTTGAGTCATTGCACAGGATTTCCAGGAAACTGGACATCTTTCCTCAAATTGTATGCTACCTGCCTCATAAGAGGACTCATACTTCCCTGGCTCTGATGTTAACTGTATTGATACCACAGGATAAGGCAGGACCAGAAAGTCTGAGTGAATGTGAGCGAGCTATGTGGGGTCAGCCCTAGGAGGGCGTAAACTGCACAGTCACCAGGACCACAGTTTGCCAAGTGCTCAGACCTGCCAACGTTCCCTTTGCATTTGTCTGCCTGTGGACGCTTTTGCTTTGTCTTTTGGGAGGTGACAAAGCTCTGTGCTTTCACATAGCACTGAAACATCTCAACACCCTCTGTAAGCAAGGAAACATTAGAGTGTGCTCAAAGGAAAAAGGGCTGAGTACAAGCAGAAACACTAACACGAAAGCAGTGGAGATTTTGAATGAAATATGAAAAACAGAACAAAAGCACTGGAAGAAGGAATACAGAACTCGTATGCCTTCAGGACCCCCTGATATCGCAGTGTCTGATGTCTAGCCTTGAAAATTACTTCCTAACAGCAAATATCTGCTGTGCCTGCTTCTAGGCAGG